CCCACCGAGTTCATGTGATCGGTCACACCGAGATTACGTTATGCCCTAGCCGTGGCACATCGGTCCAACTGAGTTGATTGTATCGGTCCCACCAAACTCTAACATTTATATTTTGACCTGAATTGGTCTGACCGAGTTTGGGAATCTGTGCGTAATGGTTAGATTTTGTGTGGAGGCTATATATACCCCTCCACCCATTCTTCATTTGTGGAGAGAGCCATCAGAACGTGCATACACTTCCAACATTCATTTTCTAAGAGAGAACCACCTGCTCATGTGTTGAGACCAAGATATTCCAATCCAATCACAAGAATCTTGATCTCTAGCCTTCCCCAAGTTGCTTTCCACTCAAATCATCTTTCCACCATAGCAAAATTTGTATGAGAGAGTTGAGTGTTGGGGAGACTATCATTTGAAACACAAGAGCAAGGAGTTCATCATCAACATACCATCTATTACCGAGCTTCTATCAAGATTGTGGAGTTGAACCAAGGAGTTTTTAAGGGCAAGGAGATCGCCTACTTCGTGAAGATCTACCCGAGTGAGGCAAGTCCTTCATGGGCGATGAATAGACAAGGTTGCTTCTTCGTGGACCCTTCGTGGGTGGAGCCCTCCATGGACTCTCGCAACTGTTACCCTTCGTGGGTTGAAGTCTCCATCAATGTGGATGTACGATAGCACCACCTATCGGAACCACGCCAAAAATCTCCGTGTCAACATTGCGTTTGCTCCCTCCAAACTCCTCCCATTTACTTTCTTGCAAGTTGCATGCTTTACTTTCCGCTACTCATATACTCTTTGCATGCTTGCTTGAATTGATTGAGATTGCTTGACTTGTGCTAAGTTGCTAAAATCTGCCAAGAACTAAAATTGGAAAAATGTTAAGTTTTTGTTTGGTCAAGTAGTCTAATCACCCCCCTTTTAGACATACTTTCGATCCTATACCCGCCCGATTTGCCACCGGCCAACAGGGCGTTCGTTGCAATGGGAGACGACACAACCGCCGCATCACGCTTACGCAGGAGTGCCCGTGTTGATTGCATGCCCACCCCAAGTCGCGCTGGCGTACAGCTGGACGGGTGCGCAGCGGGAGGATTGGGCTGATGCATTCGAACGCGTCGGCGTTGTGTTCGTGGTGGACTCCCGGCCATGACGGCTCCAGCCGCATCCATGGCGGAGCTTGCTCGCCCGCCCAAGTGATCAGTTTGAGCTCCGACAGCCTCGGGAATGAGACGAGGAATGGCGGGGCGGCGGCCACTGGTCGTCGGGCGGGATGGCTGGAATCGACCGCGGGCGATGGCGATGGCGACACGGATGGAAGGCGCGGGAATTGAAAGTTCCCTCCTGTCAACACCCGTTGCTTGTTTTCAATTCCCTGTTAAATTTGCTTTTGAAACTAGGTACCTAGTGTACAGGACTTTTTTTTACGAGAGATGGATAATGTTTTTTAAACACAGTACAAACACAGACGCTCATATATACGTGCATATACCCATCCTTATGAACACACACGCAAACCCTACCTCCTATGAACACCCCCGAGAGACTGTGTCGGCATATCATCTTGAGATTGATGAAGTCATCATACGTGTCTTGTAGTCGACGGAAACGTCTTTTCCCACTGAACGCGCATCGTTGGAAATTCTGAAATTTCAAAATAATGTAAGCACCAGGATTTAAGCCCTTTTTTCGAGGGTACGCCAAAGGCGTACCTTAGCTTTATAGAAGGGAGAAAAATATGTACAAGAGATTACACATGTGCTAGTTAGGGGTCACAAGTCGACCCTAACCAACCCTCCACGCCACTCCCTAATGCTACTCGACTATTCTGTATCTATATGTCCTCCAAACGCTCCTGCTCTTGCCCAAGTCCTGAGATCATCAAAGATCATGTCCACCGTATCCCATTCGTTCTTGATCATTCCGGTGCCAAAAACCCTCGCGTTCCTTTGCTTCCATAACATCCAATAGATTAGCATCACGAAAGTTTCAAAACTTTCCGGGATTGCTTCTGTATTCGTTTTCTACCTTCTGACCACCACTGCACCAGCCTCGAGTTCTTGGATGGGCATAGGTCAGCCGTCAGACCCATCCTGACGATGCAACAGAACCACACTTGCCGCGAGAAGACGCATTGCAGCAATATATGATCAACCGTGTCCTCCTCTTGGTCACACATGTAGCATTGTGGGATTTGGTCCTGTAACCCATGCCTGGCTCTTCTGTGTAATGTCCAGAGACGATATTGCACCGCGAGCCACATGAAAATAGGTGCCCAACACTTCCATATGGCCCCGAAGGAATGGAATCTAGTTCCTCCCTCACACAACATCTTGTATGCCGAGGATGCAGTATATACGCCCGATGCACTCCAAGCCCAGATGGGACGGTCCTCAATCTGATCATCCACTGGACCTCCATGAGTATCTCCCAAAGCCCGATGAACTGAGTGAGACCCTCCGTACATAGGTCTCCTATACAAGATCATCCATCCATGCATGCATGTGCATCACATCTCGCACGAGTCTCCTGTTTGCTACTTGTGTCTGCATCTTTGCCACCACCAATGGGGCAATCTCTTTGATTGTTGCACCATGTATCCATCGGTCTTTCCAAAACAAGGTCTTGCCTCCCGATCCAACTCCCCACTTAACTAGGCTCCCAAAGGCTTGATCCACTTTTTTGTCCGCGGTCAAATTGAGACCTTGCCAAGGCCTAGACTCATCCGTGCGTCGGAGCCATTCCCATCTCAATCTTAATGCGATGCCATGTTTAGACAGGTCAATGACTCCAAGCCCTCCCATGTGCTTTGGCCTGCACACCTTAGTCCATGAGACAACACATTTGCCCCCATGCACCGCCTCAGTCCCGGCCCAGAAGAAAGCCCTACAACCTTTGTCCACTCTTTCCAGAGCCCATTTTGATGCCTCCGCGATCATTAGGTGATGTGTAGCGCGGGGAGCTCCTATATGCCGCGTTTTGCGGCGAATAGATCACAGGACGCACAGGAGGTGCGCGACTGGGCCGGCCCATTCACTGTCTTGCGCGGAATGTAAAATTCGAAAAAAAGAGGGCGCTACCTACATGAATCGAACCAGCAACCTTCTTTAGATGCGCCCGACACGCTAGTCACTGCGACAGGCTAGTTATTCTGAAATATTAACAGCGCGAGTTTAAAAGAAATTGCCAGCTGCTGCGAAAAAGAAAAAACCAGTTTGCCAAATTCCATAAAATAAAACTAGTGGGCAAGGTTTCGAACTCAAGTACTCCGGACAGGGAAGAGACTACATAGCCACTGTAATAACTGAAATTTAGTGTGTACAGTGGCAGACCGGAATATATAACTATAATCCGAGGCACATTAAAACTGGTTTTAAAATTTCAAGCACGAACATTTTAAAAAAGGTTTTTCTTTCCTAAAAGTGTAGCATTTTTAGAATGTGAACAATTTTGGAAAACAGGTACATTTTTGAAAATTCACAAATATTCCTGAATTTGTAAAAAAAAACATGCGTACATTTTCTAAATTTGTGAAAAAAATTAAACATGAACATTTTCTGAATATGTGAACAAATTTTGAAAACAAAATAGTTTTTGAATTTGGAAACAAATTTGCAAAATGGAAAGAATTGTTGAAATACCATTACATTTGTGAATTTGCGAAAAAATAAAAAACAGGGACAATTTTTTGAAATTCCCAAATATTTTGGAATTTGTAAAAAAAAATTGAACATGTGAACACTTTTTAATTTGTGAACAGATTTTGTAGAATATAGCATTTTTTGAATATGTGAACAATTTTGGAAAACAGGAAAACATTTAAATTTCCCCAAAAAATTGAATTTGGGAACAAAAACTAAACATGCGGACATTTTTAGAATTTGTGAACAAATTTTTAAACATGAACATTTTTTTAGTATGTGAACAATTTTTTAAAACACTTTTTTTTTGAATTTGCAAACAAATTTTTTAAATGGAAAGAATTTTTGAAGATCCAGAATACTTTTGCATTATTTCAGTTTGTTTGAATCAGGAACAAGTTTTTTTAATTCTCAAACATTTTTGAATTTGTGAACAAAATTTAAGCATGCGAACATTTTAGGAATTTGTGAAACAAATTTTTTTAAATAGAAATTTTGTGAAAACAAATATTTTTGGTTTGTGAACAAAATTTAAAAAGGTGAACATTTTTTGAATTACCAAACATTTTGTGAAACAACGCAAACAAATTTTGGAATTCTGTTTTCGTTTGGAATTTATGAAGTCAAATTGGAAACATGAACATTTTATATGAAAATGAAGATTTTTTTTAAATGTGAACATTTTTGGAAAAAGAAAAATAAATTTGAGAAAGAAAAATGAAAAGGAAAGGAAAAAGAATCAAAAAATGAAAAAATAACGAAAACAAAGAGAAAAAGGAAAAAGAAACTGCAAAAGAAGTAAAAAGAAAAGAGAAACAGAATAGAAAAAAATCTGGTTCAGGAACCTTCTAGAAGTTTTCCAAAACCGTAGAAAACCGGCTGGGAACTTCTAGAAGGTTCCCAAAACCGGGAACGCTAAAACCGCTTAAACAGGCTGGCCCATATCCGAACGACCGCTTGATCCCTGTGCGAAAGAGCGACATCTTGCCGCAAGGCGCGGCGAATAGGGAATTCCTGTAGCGCGCGCCCTTATGACTTGGTTAACAAGTATGAGCCTCCCAGGGCTGTGCTATCCTGACAAAATGTGTAGTGTTGTATCAACAATGGACTGCCACTCGCCCTGTGGAATACCATTGTCTTTCTAACGATATGGTTTGAGATGAATTATTTTTACAGAACGAGACTGAAATGGACATTTCTTAAAACTGTAAAACGGGCTATTTTATTGTTCCAAGCCTTCTACTGACAGAGATGCCAATAAAATATACCTGATCAGCGTTATCTCTCTGCTCCCGCCATTGGCAACCGCGAAACCACCCAACCCACCCCCACCACATTTTCACGCCGCGGCGGCCATCCATGGCCGCCTCTGCTTCCTTCCGCTTCCTCTCCCCTCCAGCACCGAACCCGCATGATAGGATACACCCTTCACTCCTCGCATGCCCGACGCGCCGGCGCAGGCTCCGGGCCACCCGCTGCTCGTCCACGCCGCAACTGCCGCCATCGCCGCCGCTCGAGTTCCCCCTCCTCCCATTCCAGCCCGCGGAGGTAACATTTCGGAAGAACACCAAAGGGCGGATCCCCTTTCTGTTCATTTGTCTGGGATAGCGTTAGATGAAATCTGATGATAATGATAAATCACAGTCGAATGGTTGGTTGGAGGGCAAGTCGAATTGGTTTGGGTCTTGGCAACCAATTCTTCTTTGGTGCGTTGGGGTGGGTTTCCAGAACCACAATTTGCTGTTTGAACATAACAAATCAGTTGAATCGGCCAAAGTAGGGATTCTGGGTCTGTTTGATTTTTTTTTTCTGCTAATGCGTTTCATCACCTTCAGGCTTGTACAGTCAGTTGCTAGATGGGCATTGGCTTGTTGAAGCGAGACGTGTTTTCTTGCAAAAATTCTACTTACAGGGGCTAATGTACCTTACAGACGATTGTTATAGCAATCAGCATTTGCAAGTTGCAACAATGCCATGAGTCATGACTTTTGCCTGAGTAAATTGTTGGTGAGGTTATCACATCGCCATGATTTATCTTCCTCATGCTGCCTTCGCAACAAGTAATTGAAGAATTCTCATTTTTTTTAGCCAACGTCTGGAATTAATTTTGGACTCACATATTTGATTTGCACCGTTTCTAGTCATCGAGATCGTCTCAGTATTTATTTCTCTGCAAAGCTATAAAATTGCTAGGAACTCTAAAAAATTATAGCAATTCGATGGTACTAAGATAATAAAAATATTATAGGTGTTGATTCCATCTGAATGCAAGACCCTGCACTTATATGAAGCAAGGTATCTAGCATTGCTAGAAGAGGTAATTACCATTGGCTCAATTGATTGCTTTATGCTACTTTTGGCATCTCACTATTGTTTTTCTCGATTGGCATAATCTAGCTTCCTTGCTACACAAAAAATACTGTTCATCACACATTTGTAGATTTATCATGTAAATGGTCTCTTACGTTACAACTCTCACCTTCCTAGAGTTAAGAGAGGTTTGGCCATGATGGTTCATTAGGGAAATGTATTGTTTAGCCCTAGGCATGCTTGTGTACAAATCACAGTCTGTGTGCACTTCTGTATCCCAGTAAAAATTGCACAATCATGTTGCTAATAAGAATCCTAGCATACCTTTTTACTACAAATTTCATGTTATTTCATTCAAATAGGAAAAAAGCCCATTTTTGACCCTCCATTGTTGCAAATTTTAATCTTTGGTCCCTCAACTCTATATCAATTACATTTCTTTCCGAGGTGTAAAAAAAGTTTGGATTTGGTCCCTTGCCCCACTAGAAGTGATTTCGACGATTATGTGGTTGCATTTGGCACAAGTGACAACCTAGTCATAATTTCTTTTATAGACAAACCTGAAAAAAGAAAATAAGAAAAAGAAGTCAAGAAAGAAAATGCGAAAATTTTAGGAAACTCAGCTAATTCAATGAAAATATAAGGAAACCGGAAAAAAGATCTCACATATTTTAAAAATATTATGAAAACTTAGGGAAAATGATTCTTATCTATTTTTGGAATAATAGGGAAAAAACGAGAATTTGAAAAAGAGTCAAGTTTCAAAACTGTTGAAAGGGGAAACCTCTTTTTGAAATCCATGCCTTTTCTACAATATTATAAATTTCATTATTTTAAAACTCATTTCATATTTCATAAATTTCCTATAATATTTATGTTTTTCTTTATGAGGTCTGCTCCCCGCTTCCAACTCTTGTTTCCGAAGGGACTTGTACATGTGGTAAACTACCACCAGACCATCACAAAATTGCTTTGAATGTGGCAAGGGAATAAATCTAGACCAAACTTATTTGATGAGTTGAGCGACCAAACGTAGGCTTCATAAATAGTCGAGGGTAAAAATTAGACCGTTTTGATTTAAATGAAATGTTCAATGCCACGCCTCTTAGAAGTGGAATTCTCAAAATATTGGATGAAATTTGTGAAATCAACAATTTTCAGTATGGGGCAAGAAAATGTAATCTCAACCGAAAATTTTGGGTAAATTTGAAGAACTTCCAAACATGATAGTACTAAAAGAAATAAATGTTAATACTATCACTAATCGGGCTTTGTTGCATTGATGGGGTGTCTTCACACTACTCCATAGTCGGGTTCTAGTTAAAAGGTCTACATTTGTTTATTTAATAATTTAAATACCAAAATTTGAATTTGACAACATTGTTTGGACTATTTCTATGAAAATTTGTAAATTTCACGAACATTGCAAACCTCTGTCAAGCATGAAAAATAATCCTAAAAAATGTTGTGCTTATAACTATCTAATGTATCACTTTGGAGAGGTTCATTGCAACTCCTAATCTTCAAATTACTAACTGAATGCCCGTGCATTATCTTTGCCCCAAGTCCTTGACTCAATTGCTGCACTGGGCCAAACATCGTTGGACCAAATGCAAATTTCTCATACAGAGATAGAGCAAGACTCAAGGGTTTGTCACGGACTTATCCCAGGGATGTTGCACCTACACTTAGGACAAATTACCCTGGCAGTGGTCTTGGAAGGGGCGACAACTTCCGTAGGGAACTATGCGCCTTTGAAGTCGTTGACTTGGAAATTGTCTACAACGCAATGATAGGCTGCATACTTGAGCTATTCATGGCTAGACCCGCACACTCAGGACTCCATCTCTTGGAACGGGCACCCTAGCAGTGTGTACTCGATCGACTCGACTTATTGGGCCCAATTCTTGGGCTCCTATCCGAGATTCTCGGCCGATAAAATCTGGAAGGCGCATGAAGAGCCAAAGTGTAAGCTCTTCTCCTGGCTCCTCCTCCACAACAGGATTCTCACGTCTGATCGGTTGGCCACACGCGGCTGGCTGCATGACCCTGTCTGCCAACTTTGCCTTAGTGCCTTTGAGACTGCGGACCATCTCTGTATGAGCTGTCTGTTCACTTCCGCCATCAGTCGCCTTGTGTGGTCCTGGGTGGAAGAGCTGTTGGCTTTCGCTTTGACGACTGCTTTCCCCTCAATTGACGCCTGGTGGGATGGGAGCCTCAAGGACAACGACAACACTTTGAGAAGGCGACGCAGTGGCATCCTCATTTACATAATGTGGAATGCCTGGAAGGAGAGGAACCGCCGCATCTTCGAAGGCACGAGACTGACTTACTTCAAGGTGGCCCATCTGGCCTACGAGGAAATTTCCAGCGTGAGCTGGCCTTCCGGCACAAGTGATTCCAATTCATGAGTAGTTAGCATGGGGCTTTGACTGGGATCCTTGGGATCTTGGGGTTTTCGGCATGTCCCCTTTTAAAACATGCCACCTTGTAAATATTTCCCCCTTCTTAATGAAAAGGCGGCACACTTGCTGGTTGCTAACCCCCCCCCCCCCAAATTATACCTACATGATGATGAAGCTACTGGGACCGAACGACAGTATCACAGTGCGGGGCTCCCTCAAACACTCAATGGAGTGCGACCGCTTCAACTACGAGATGACCATTGATGTCCCAGTCCTCGACGCGCAAGCACCCATTATTATCCAAATTACGTGCTAATTTCGCACCGTTGTTAGTTACATTGCAAACATAACGCGACATTTCAGACGCTACGAGTACCCCTGTTGTAATTGATCTTGTCCACAACTTATGGAGGCGAACCTTGGTATATCGTGTCTTCTTTTCAACTTGTGTTCTAGATCCCATGTTGGATTGATGTTATGTTCCCTTGACTACAAATCTACATACTAGCTCTCGCACCAATCCTAGGACCCGATGAAAATCCCTCGACAGACAGGGCTAGGAGCTGCATTGGTAGGTCGTAAGGCTCGATGGCGGACATTGATTTTGTCGCAAGCTACGCAAGGGACCCATGGATGAATAGAGGGCGCGAGGTGTCCGCAATGCACAATGGAAATCGCATTTACCCACGGCGTGCAAATTGCATGCCACACCTTGTTCCCGCCATTCTGTCGCAATCCTGACCTTGCCACTTGGTGACTAGGTTCTAGCAAAGATGCTAAACTCGTCTACGAAGATGAGAAGCAAAGATCAAGCAAGCACTCAAGTCTATTGACCAAAAACCTAATGCATCAATGAAATGATCATGGGGCTAGAACTTTCAAATGAACCTGCAATTTTTACCACTGGTGAATATAGAGATAAGGACTATGTTGGCCAAGTTTCACCAATATTGGAAGAAATTTGGTGGGGTTTCACACAGTGATCATATGGAGTCAAAATTTGTGATAGATGCTAGTAGTGTTTTCAATATGTAATTGGACTTGAGACTTTGACCACATGTGTAGATAAGGATGATGAACAATATGTCCAACTGGCAAGAAGTTTTGAAGCATCAAGATGTGGGGTCCAATGCATTGGTCATATAGGTCCAAATGAGTTTGACCAAGAGATAAATATGAAACGCAATGCCATTTGACCCAATATTAGTGTAATAAGTGTCCCCATAATTTTCCAGGATTTATTGAGATGCAGAAGTATATTAGGGGATTATTGGCCATATATAGGCAAGTAATTATTTTTAATCTTCAAATATTGCATTGGACATGGCAATATTTCCACATAAGTCTAAAATATACAAAGGGAGCTTTGACACATCGGTAAAGCTGTTGCCTTGTGACCATGAAGGTCACAGGTCCGAGTCCTGGAAATAGCCTCTTGAAGAAATGTAGGGGAAGGCTGCGTATGAAAGAGTGGTCGGACCCTTCCCCGCCCCCTGCAGAAGCGGGCCAGGGGTTAAAACACTCTCGTCACTCCACGAAGTCACGGCGAGGCAGTTTACCTAGGTTCGGGCCATCGGCGTCGGTGTAATACCCTACTCCTGTTGTATGTTTCTTTGCTTGTGTATCGGAAGAGAGAAGGGGTAAACTGCTTACAATCAGCACAGTGAGCTCCCTATGTTTTCTAGTTCTTCTTTTTCACGTTGAGGGAGTCCTGGACTAGGGGGTCCTCGGGTTGCCGACCTATCTCTCATGGGCCGGACATGTGGGATGCTCTGCGACTACTACAAGGCCGAGCTATAAGGTGACTCCATATCTGGACAGGAAACCTATGGAGCCTTGGTGCGTCCTCCAAGTCAAGATGATAGAATCAACATGTTTATTCCTTCATTGTAACCGACCATGTGTAACCCTAGCACCCCTGGTGTTTATATAAACCAGAGGGTTTAGTTCATCTGATCTCGTGGTAGATCAACTCTGTAATCATCCTATACACTTCAATATAATCAAGCAGGACGTAGGGTTTTACCTCTTCGAGAGGGCCCGAACCTGGGTAAACATCGTCTCCTTCGTCCCTTGTTCCCCATTTATCCAAGATCCACAGCTCGGGATCCTCTACTTGAGATCTGCCGGTTTTGACACCGACCTTGGTGCTTTCATTGAGAGTTCCGCTGTTGGGTCGCCGAAGGGTCAATGGCTCGCCTTGTCATTAACAATGGCATCCGCGCCGGGGACATCTTCGTTCCCGGCCAGATCTTTGCGTTCGACAGCATTGTGCTGCACGCCGATCCAACCTGCCGCCTCAGCCAGATCGAAAGTTTTGCCCCTGATTAGGAGATCAGGTTTGGGAACCTATAGTTCGTCGCCGACTCCTGGGGAGATCTTATCTTGACGAGGTCTTCAGCTCCCCTTGAAGAGCTTGGCAATGTCGACGCCTTAACATCAGGAGCGATAAACCCCGCCACCTTGGATCCGGCCTTAAAGCCTGACCTCGTCGTTACGTTCGGACTAGCTCCGGCCGAACACTGCCCGGGCGTGACTTCGAACACCCCCGGAGCAGCGATACTGCGGGTTGACCCCGAGTACTCCAGGAGCATGGACCCGA